AATGTCAAGTGCACACCTGCTTTAACACAGCATTGGCCATTTACTCTTTTTTTTTTTTTTTTTAAATATATTTTATTGATTTTTTACAGAGAGGAAGGGAGAGAGAGAGAGAGAGTTAGAAACATCGATGAGAGAGAAACATCGATCAGCTGCCTCCTGCACATCTCCCACCGGGGATGTGCCCGCAACCCAGGTACATGCCCCTGACCGGAATCGAACCTGGGACCCTTCAGTCTGCAGGCCGACGCTCTCTCCACTGAGCCAAACCGGTTTCGGCGGCCATTTACTCTTTATGGGACAGTCTTCTCCTTATATTTACACAGCTCTCATCTCCTTCAAGATGGCTTACTCAAAGAGATCAAACCTGATCATACTATTGTTTCTCACCCCTCAACCCAGACCTTGTGACACCCAGCCCTCTCCTATTCTACTCTATTTTTTCTTTTATCCATATAGGCTATCACATCATATATATGTATTTATATTATATATGCAAATGTTTTATATACATATATAATATAGAGGATAAATATACTGTAGAATAGAAAATAAAAATATTATATATTAACAAGAGGCCAGATGCACGAAATTCGTGCAAGGTTAGGCCTTCCTTCCTTTGGCTGCTGTCATCGGCTTCCCTCTGGCACCTGGGACCTGGGCTTCCCTCTGGCAACCGGCAGGCATCCTGGACCCTGGCTTCATACAGAAGGTCATCTGGAAGGACGTCTGGTCTAATTAGCATATTATGCTTTTATTATAGATATACATACTTACATATACACTCTCTACATATATTAGAACTATACTATGAAGACTTTGTTACATATAACAGGTTATATGGAAATATAGGTTTATTAAGCTTAGTGTTTGCAATCTGTCTCTTTCCACTAGAAAATAAGCTCTAAGAGGGCAGGAAGCATCTGTTTTGTTTCGTAGTGTATCACACACACCATAATTAGAGACCAGGACCTGGTGCATCCTCAATGAAATGTGTTGCTAACTGAAACATGGTTACTAAGAAAGAACATATGTTATGCTAATCTTAGATGATAACACTGTCAAGCAGTTTGAGTAATATCTTAATTATTGACATTAAATAGCATCTCAAAATATTGTTGATGGACTTTCATAAAAGTGACAACTAGTCATACTGAACTACGTGCTGCAAGTATAAATAGACTTGAGAGGCAACTGAAATATCTTTTTATCAACTTACTATCTACAAATGACTTACAGTAGCAAAAAGAACTGAAAAAAAAAAACTATGTTGGTGCATAGACAAGTCATTTCCCACATTAAAAGAATTAGACATGTGGGCCCTGCTCAGGGGCCAAGGACCACGGGCTTCAGGCTTAAATATGTCAATTTAGAAATAAAAACATATTAACTGATATTTTTATGATTATTTAACATTTATATTTGAAATTAGTCCTCATAGAATTTATTTTGGTGTAAGGCAGAGAGTATTAATTCTCAAAATAACAATTCATCAACATAATTTAGTAAATACTAAAACATTTCCCTATAATTCAAATCCTTTTTTGATGTATTTTATATCTATCATGTATATCTGGATTTTTATTCTATTTCCTTTTATATGCATCTCCTGTAATAATAACATACCATTTTATTACAATTTATTTTAATATATTACATAAACATACAAGCTCCCTTATTACCATCTCTATTCACTATTCCCTGTTATTCTCTTGCACTTTAAAATGACTTAAGTTCTAAATATTATTCCATTTTAACTTGTTTGAAATTGCTTTATACTTTTCAGATATAGTGTTTATGAAGTATTAAGAGCTTAAAAGTCTGAGATCTCAAATAAGGACTAAAACTCTATTTATATAATTTTATGGCTATTTAGTAAACTTTACTTTTCAAACTCTGCTCTGTATAGTTTTAAGCAGTAGTTTGTGTTTTGTTTTTGTTAATTAATGAAATTTCTCATTAGATTTACAAAATGGTCTGTAAGAAATATGTGCACATGTGTACATAAGGCATTTTGACTTTATGAGTTTAATGACACTGCCTCTTCTGTTTCAACTTTAAGAATGGCATTGAATTTTGTTGTGAGCTATTTATATTTTTTGTGTTTGGAAAATATAAATACTAGAAAATATGAAGATAATATAAATCCTTATGATAAAAATAAAAGAAAAAAAGCTTTCAGTAAACTATAAATTGTCAATGTCTTTTTACTTAATGATGTGGTAAATTTTATCATTAAATGTCTTCATTTGACTCATCTTTTAATTCCTGGATAAAATAATCCTTTGATATTTACTAGAATTTTATTAATATTATATTGGATCATATTTTAATTTAGAATTTTATGAATATAAATGGGATAAATGAAACCATTTTTTTATTTTGTGCAATTTTTGTTATCCATTACTAATTGAGAATATTTGGGGCAGAAAGCCCTGTTTGCTCTCTGTTCTATTCTTCCCAAACAGTTAGTAGAAAAAAAGAGAGTCATATCATTATAAGAAAACAATATCTTTTTTTTCCTCTTAAACTTCATTTACTTCATGAGTTAAACCAAACCACAAAGGCTGGTTTGGTTTAGAGGATGTCTGAGAAAGATAATTTTGATCCAATTAACCAGCACTTCTACAGTTTAAAATTATGCAAAACTTTAAGAAACATATTGATGGAGGTAACTCCATGATGCCTCACTTTGGAGTGTCATTATTTCTTCTCAGCAACCCAGTACAGCCTGAGAAATCCACTAGAGCAAGGGAGCTCAGAATTATGGGCTTTCTACCTTTTATAATTTTTTAGTATGAAAGTAGCATGTAGGGAGGAAATAATAGTACCCAATGGTCCACTTAAGAAGCCTACAAAGAAATTCTTCCTTTATCAGTTATACACTTGTTCTATATTTTGCCAGTGTCACGGAACCTAATCAAGATTTTAGCACTATAGACCATTCTACTGTGGCCTACCCCACATTTCTTTTACATGAAGAGATTAGACCAGATGTGTTTTTAAAGATCAGTTCCAGCTACTGAATGGAACACCAGTAGAATACTAGAAGACTAGAAGAAAGTAAGGGTGGGTATATATCTCCTGATCTTTTCCTGGTTGGTTTGCCTTGGATGGCCTATGTGCTCTTCCTAAAAGCCATGGCTTTTGTAGTCTGGCAGCTTTTCTCCTTAGGTTCTGGATTTTGGTAACTGCTCTTTACTTTGTCCCTCTAGGTGTTGGGGTAGTAATGACATTCTGCTGTTACTAGTCCCTTCAGAATCATACAATCTCTCACTGTTTTCCTTAAATTATACCCATATCTTTGTAAATAATTTCTTTATTAAACTCTTCCCAAATGTTCAATTAGAGTGTGCTATCTATTCCTTGATTTGGCCTTGGACAACACAGTGGGTGAGCATATTGGAAAGTGTCAACATGTGCCTTGTAAATGATTATCATATCTCAAATAATTAGGGAAGTGAAACTGGGAGGAAATGGGGAGAACTGAAGGAGGTCAAAATCATCAAAGCATATTAGCAGTTGGAGTTAGGGGATGAGAAAAATGGAACGTGACAATTTTGTTCATAAAGAGCAAGCCTAGAATTTGATTTCCTGGAAATAAAGAATTTGTATCCTGTATTCCTAAGGGGCTAATTTTATTAGAGTAGAAGGTATACTCAGCTGCATCTACTAAGAACCTTATATGCGACACAAGTGATGTATAAGGTATTGGGGATGTGTCATACTAGTTATGCAAAAAGCTTTTATCTTTTAAAAGTACAAGAATACCTCTTTAAATTTGTAATTTAACAAATTATGAAAATTTTAGAAATTTTGTAAAGAGAGGTGTGCGGGGAGGACTGGATGAAGGAAGATGAAGGGATTAGCTAACCCAAAGACATAGACAACAATGTGATGTCAGCCAGAGGGAAGGGTGGGGCAAGGGCTGAGTGGAGGTGGGTAAAGGGGGGGCAGGAATGGGGACATTTGTAATAGTGTCAACAATAACAATAAAATAAAATAAATAATAAAATGATGACTGTATAAAATAAAAGTGATGAAAATAAAAAATAAAATCATATACTAAATACTAGCATATCAAATATAATTTGGTCTTTCATATTACTGAGATGCCAGACATAAATTACACACCTAAACACTTATATGTGTTTCCTCTAAAGCATAGACACACAAAATCAATTTTGCATTGAATGAAATTTACTGCACTGCTACCATTACATTTGAAATTCCATGAGACAGAACTTCTTTAAATAATGGAAAAAATCTGTTTAATAAATACCATTCATTAAACTTGTTTTGCATGCTTTCCAATTTAATAGTAATTACAAAGATAGAGAAGATTAGTGATGTCTAAAGTGCTTTAAAGTAAGAATATTTATCTAAGAAAAGTGGCTTTTCATTAATTATTTCAAATTCACACATGGAATATTACCTTATTTCAAAATATTTATGTAGTATTTTGTTAAGTAAAAGACATGGATTTAATTTATATTCTGAGTTATATTCATGAAGGCATCATAGCTTTGCATTAAGAAATGATAAACCACACCATGAAGGATGGGAAAACCCAACCAAATTCCCTTAATTTCTTCATCTTTCCCATTAAAAAAGAAAATACCACTACTGAAGAAAATGCTAGGAAATGTGTTACATTGTGTTCAATCTGACAAAGAAGCTATTTCAAGAAATGAGAATAATAGTTATTCCTAAACTTTGAAAGATCCATTGTAATGAATTGAACTAGTTCAGTTTCTGATTGCTTGCCAGCAGTAGAGCCATCTCCCACAAACTCCCCTATTGATCTGGTAGCCTTTGTGGCAGTGCATTAAGAATAACCATCTGTGTCAGGTACAACAGCAGGTGCCTTCTTCATTGACTGGCTGCTGCCCTGATTACAAAGAAGTTGTTTAGGGCACCTGGTGACTACAACAGGCTCTTTCTTTTCTGTAGAAAAGAAACTCATTTCTAAAAGTTTATTGAATTGAAACTGAGAAACTCACCAGAAATCATCAGCTGACGAGGTGCTGGAATGGACTCCAATGAAGACAAAGTAAGAGATGGAGTGATGGGAAGCCACTGGCCTGCGGCAGCAGATTCCCAATTATGCACACTAGGCTGAAGTTCCCATTTGGACCATTCTGAAGAAGTTCTGAACTCTTTTTTTTTAAAAATCAGATGTTAAAGGCAGATCATCTGTATAATATGTCCAATGTGGCATAAATACAGACAAGGGAAAAGAGGTCTGTATTGGAAGTGACCGAGTTGGTGAAATGGTGTGTAATGCAACAGCAGAGGTTGCTTCTGAAATATCAGTTATTGAGTCTACATAAGGTGAAGGGTTGTATTTGAGGTCATTTGAATACACAGTTTCTGGATGACTTCGTAAATTTAATTTAAAATCCTTAGGAACTTTGAGCTGTTTTTGAGATCCTTTTTCCTCTTGCATACCCAATAAATTGTCTTGATTCATTGTCTCAGTGGGACCCACAGTTATACCATATTGTCCTATTTTCAATATTTTAAAAATGTTTCTTGATACTAACAGATCATCAGTAGTCAGTTTTGAAGTCAAATCAGAATTCAGCAGATCAGAAGAGACAATTGAAGGGATGATGGATAAACAAGTCTTATCCAAACATAAATTAACAACCAAATACTTGATAGGGTAATGTATTCCTCCAAGGATAAGTATAAACTTATTCCTTTTGTACTCTTTTTAGAAGAAAATAAAGATGACAGTTCTGTGAATGCTAGTGATGGCATTATTTCAGTAGCAGAAGAAAATAAATGCCTAGAAGTGATAGTTTGAGTTCCCATTAGTGCATACCAGCTGGCTAATATCTCTGAGTTCATCCCGAATGTCTCATAAAAATGGGACTGTTCGCTATGCGAAACTTGATCTGAGAATTTATGAGAGGATTTTATTTCAGTCACAGAACATGTTGCACATGTCTGGCTTAATTCACTTAAGGAATCAGCAGTCTGTGATTTGGTGTTTGTGAGTCTCTTGTTGCTAGATGCTTCAGTAATAATCTGATATTCACTGGGAATGGAGGCTGTGTAGTGGATATGGGCAGAGTTGATGAGTTTGAGATGGCTACCTGTTTAGATATAATTATCTTAGCAGGAGAAATGGGAGACATTGAGGAGCTCAGCAATCTCCAGTACTCTCTTCTTGAAATTACGGTAACAGCTGAATATTCTTCAGTATCCTCTTGAGCCCCCCTAGAAACAATTGGAGGTATGCTTGTGGAAGCAGTTGTGAGCAGCAATCCAGGGGAGAGGAATGAGTGCCTGTTTAACTCAGCATAGGCCCCTGGAATGCCACTAATTACTGAACTCATTGTGGCAGCAGATAAGGCAACAGCCTGATCATTGTCAAGTAATACAGATTGCGTAGGAAAAATAAAATCTATCATTAAGGAAGAGATGATAAATGAGGTCCTCTCTCTTCTATTGAAGAAAAAGAATCCTGGTGAGACAGCTGAAGTTTGGATAGGCATATGTGAGACAGCTGTTGTGCTCCGGACAATTTGTGTTGTGTCATGATAATCAAAATTCAGAAACTGAGAAGAGCAAACATCTGTGGAAGAAGTAAGTGTGTTTTGTTGAAAGTTGTCTAGTAGAAATCAGCTCTTTCAGTAGATAGCTTTCAAGGGATATGCCAATACTTAATGCTGACAAACCAGCGGTTGAGAGAATGTCATGCTTGAAAATGTCTGTCTCTTTTAAACCTTCAGAGGAGAAAAAGCCAACTTAAAAATAAAAAATAAAAATGAATTGAAAATGAACAGCTTTGGCCCTGGGCTGACTCTTCTGCAAATTACACTGCCATCTCACACCCATTATATGTGGACAAATACGGCTCTATAAATCATATAGCATATAAAAGTGTATGAGAAAGTTTAGTGACTACACAAACTACATAAATGCAAGAACTCCTGTTATTCACACTCCATGAGAGGGCCACAGTCAGAACAAATGGTGTCAGGCAGAATAGCCATATCACAAACTAAGTGACCCCTTTGAATTACAAAACATTAAAATTTACAACTCCTTGTTATTGATGGGATCACTAGTACTATTTGACCTATTGGGTTAGGGATGTTAGAAAATATCATTTTACTTTCTAAATTGGTAAAATATTCTGTATATTAGATCATATTATATTTTAATGTAATTATTTAAAGTATCAGAAATGTATAGAGGCAAAAAATAGAAGAGTCTACCTTTCTGCCCTTAATATCTCCCTTCAAAAATATTGTCTTTAAATAATGAATATCCTCTTAAGGGTTATAATTCTTAAAACAAACTTCAAACATGATGCATAACCAACAAGAATTCTAAGACAATTTTACGCTCTTGATTTATCACGTTATCAGAAAAATTGAAATAGGTCAGAAAATAAGTTTCAATATACAACTTTTTCAGATACAAACATCTTTATATCTTACTCTCATCTACTTACCTTGGTCAACTGGATAAGTATTCATTATGGTCCATAGTCTTGTAGACCTTGTACCTCAGAAGTAGGTACTATATACATTTGAGTAGGAATGTCATCTGTTCTTGGAGAGAAAGGAAGTAAAGGGATAATTCTCCTTATTTCATCACCACAAAGAAGCCCGATGGAACAGGTCTGCAAACAATAATTACATTAATTAAGCTCAGAGATTATGTTATTCCTAAGTGAGAACTTTTAAAGTTAGTTTTGCGATTCTTTACATTGCCACAGTCATATTAAATAGCTCAAAGCATAGCCTTGTTTTGTTTGAAAATTAAATCTCTATAGTAAATTTTACCCAAATTTCAAAATTAATGCAATCTTTCAAATTTTAGATATGCTCCATTGAAAGGCTAAATTTGTTAATTCCTGTAAGTAAAAATACTACTTTACATTTGCCTTGAGGATATTTTTTCCAATGAAAAATTTGTACTCTAAGGGAGTCAATATAGATCTAATGGCTCCATTAAAAATTATAAACTTTCCAGCCCTGGCTGGACGGTTCAGTTGATTGGAGCAGGTTCCATATGCCAAAAGGTAGCAGTTTTGATTCCAGGTCAGGGCATATGCTGGGTTGCAGGCTCAATCCCCAGGAGGGGGTGAGCAGGAGGTAGCCCAATCAATATTCTCTTTCATCATTGATGTTTCTAGCTCTCTCTCCCTCTTCTTTCTTGAAATTAATAAAAATATATTTTAAAAATTATAAACTTTTCTGTTCTAAATGTCATTTATTTGAAATTTAAAAATCAGTATCTACAATAAATATTTTAAAAACATTTTCTTGTGATGTTTGAAGGATATTAATATGTATGGGTTTATAAGCAATGTTCCTTATATGTCTTAGTTTGAATAGCTTATTTCTGCCATTTCACTTATGAAATAATTTCTACATAAAGAAATAGAAAAGAAAATTGTGATGCATGCATAAGTAAGTGCAAATGGACCAGGGGATTTCCTTTAAATGAAGAGTTAAAAATTAGGTATACTATTTAAAGTATTTTAAACTTTAAAAAATATGCAATTCAAATATTATTTTTAAATACAAATACATTCCTGTTTCCTAATTCTAAAGATATATTCATGTAGATGTTTGGAGTGAGGGAGGAGAAGTTTAATAAATAATTCCTAGGTTTTTGTTGCTATTGATGAAGTGAGCAGTGTTCCCACCTATTAATTTGAAGAACAGTGATGAAGACTAGTTAGGAATTGGAGGTAGAATAAGATTTCTGTTTAAACGCTTTAAATTTGAGAATCTTACGAACTACACAGATGAATGTAAAATAGGAAATTGAAAATATGAGTCTCTCAAGAGACAAAATTACCCTAAAATTATTTCAATTAAGTAAAAAGTATCTACTTATATAAAAACCCTGGGTGTAACATCACGATCCGAGGCATGACCAACCGGAAGGAAGTCAGTCCTGCAGGGGTTGTCTTGGAAACGGCTCTACCCTCCCCCAAGCTGTTTCCCGGAGCTGTTTCCGGTAAGGGCGAGGTTTGAGGCAGGAACCCGCCCTGGGAGCATGGAGGCATATCTTTATAAAGTGTACCATGCCAGCACGGCCAAGGGTGAACCTGAGTGGGGATGGCTGAAAGGCTTAGAAAAGACAGACAAGAGAATGAAAGCTGGGTCTCAGTGGGACGCTGCTTCTCTGAGAGACAGCAACCACGCCCACAGCCATGCCTTTATTTTATACCAGATGCCAGGAGGCAAAGCAGGGCGTGACCAAGATGCTTACAACATTCTCCTGGGTTTCAATCCTACTCAACTACATGCACCTGAACTCTATCAAGCCTACATCACTCAGGCACGTGGGGCCACATGTTCGGACCATAGATTCAAGCTTACAACTACAGCTGGTGGCTATAATTGTGCTGGGAGGGCCCTGCCCTCCAAGCTGGGACTTGCTCGTGGCAATGAGAGGACTGTGCCCTCTCATCAGTCCAAGGCTTGAACCTGTCCAAAACACTGTAGCGGCTCCCCATAATAAAGTTTTAATACATTATATTAGAGGTTGTGGTGGTACTGTTTTACCCACAGTGTCTACAGGGATTGCTGCAAATTTACTTCTCAGTGGAAGAAACTTTCATTCCCAATATAAATGACCAATTCCATTAAATGAAACTTCAATTTCTAGACTCGATATAAACAGTGAAGTTGCTAAAACTATTAAAAAGGCCCAACTTCTCATTATTGATGAATACATCATGGCATCCAGTCATGCTATAAATGCCTTGGATTGATTACTAAGAGAAATTATGAATTTGAATGTTGTATTTGGTGGGAACGTTCTCCTTCTTGGAGGGGATTTTCGACAATGTCTCAGTATTGTACCACATGCTATGATGAGTTTAAAGTACTGTAATGTTTGGGGATGTTTCAGAAAGTTGTCTTTTACAACAAATATGAGATCAGAGGACTCTGCTTATAGTGAATAGTTAGTAAAACTTGGAGATGGCAAATTTGATAGCAGTTTTCATTTAGGAATGGATATTATTGAAATCCCCTATGAAATGATTTGTAATGGATCTATTATTGAAGCTATCTTTGGAAATACTATATCTATAGATAATATTAAAAATATATCTAAACATGCAATTCTTTGTCCAAAAAAATGAGCACGTTCAAAAATTAAATGAAGACATTTTGGATACACTCCATGGAGAATTTCACACATATTTGAGTGATGATTCCATTGATTCAACAGATGATGCTGAAAAGGAAAATTTTGCCATCGAATTTTTTAATAGTATTACTCCTTCGGGAATGCTGTGTCAAATTAAAATTGAAAGTGGTGCAATCATCATGCTATTGAGAAATCTTAATAGTAAATGAGGTCTTTGTAATGGTACCAGATTTATTATCAAAAGATTACGACCTAACATTATCGAAGCTGAAGTATTAACAGGATCTGCAGAGGGAGAGGTTGTTCTGATTCCAAGAATTGATTTGTCCCCATCTAACATTGGCCTCCCATTTAAATTAATTCGACGACAGTTTCCCGTGATGTCAGCATTTGTGATGATTATTAATAAATCACAAGGACAAACTCTAGACAAAGTAGGAATATTTCTACCTGAACCCGTTTTCCCACATGGTCAGTTATGTGTTGCTTTCTCTTGAGTTTGAAGAGCATGTGATTAGTCAAGCACTTTGAAAGTGTTTTCACTCTTAATGTGGTGTACAGGGAGATATCAGAATAAGTTGAATCACTATATTAGTCATTGCTTGCATCACTTTTGTTTTTATATCATGTTTTTGTTGTTTTTATATCATGATTTTGGTTTCATATCATGTTTTTGTTGTTTTTATATCATGCCTCTGTTGCTGTTATATCCTTTTGTTACTGTTTATTAATAAATTTATATATTATTTTCATACACATTTTACTAATTTCCTTTCATCTCTCACACTTCTATTATAAAGAAAGGGCAAATAGCAATATTAAAATATTTCTGCTAATTAATTCCCTTTTAATGTGCACGAATTTTGTGCACCGGGCTACTAGTGATTTAATAAAACCAGTGTAACCCCAGAGCCTTTTCACTAATCTGTATTCATAGAGCTGGAAAATGACAGAAACAGGATTTATATGTAGGCAATGAGGCTTCACAACCCACACTCATAATCAATATGCTATATTTTTGTTTCCTTTACATCTTCAACATTTGCTATAAACAGTTCTAGCCTATAGTTGATTATTTTAGATACTAAAACTAAATGATTCTTCTATTTTAACAGCCCGTTTAACAAACATCACTATCAATTAAATTTAATGATCACCAACAATGTGTTACAATCCTGGCAAATCAAAGTCTATTATTGAAATGAGTTCACAACCCTGTGGATTAGTATTTTCATTCTATTGACAGAAATAGTTGAAGATGTAATGTTGTACTTTAACTGAATTTTCTACTTGAAATTATGAGTATGTAATATAGCTAGAAAAAAAATCCACATGATCACAATCAGTATCATAATCTAATTCTGTGGTTTAAGCCACTTTCCTCAAAACTGGTAGGCTGAATTTACTTCATAAGTTTTACTAAAATAATTGACAGCTGAGTTTTTTCACACTATCAAAATATTTATTAACTTATTTACTGTGTATATAAAACTATTTGCATAACTTGTGGATTCCAGTACAAATAAAAATATGAACCCCCTTGTTGAAAAATGGTTAAATATTCAAGTCAGCGACAGCAGAATATTAGACCAAGTGTGTGTGTCAGTGCAAGAAGTGTCTGCTATAGCAGGCAGGGTCTTATGCAACTTACAGGTCCTACACCAATGACGTCAGTCTGCTATTTTGCCAGACTGTATAACCCTGGATTTACCAGCTTATAGCTTGATGCTGTTGTGAATTTGCTCAATATTTCACTTCTTAAATGAAATACCATTTTGACAATTAGAAGAAACAGTTCAGATGACTGGTACTAAATTCATGACATGGTGTTCCTTGTAGAATTATAAAGGAAACATTAGGCAAAAGAACCAAGATAAACTAACCAAGCGAGTCAGTTTCTAAGTATAGGCTTAGTTACCCTATCAGTCATAGTTCTTAGAAGCAATAAACTCTTCCTAGGTTCCTAGCATAAACTTTCAATTTATGCTAATTGGAATTATCATGTTTCATTAGGAAAGGTTCATTAAACTAAAGTTCTCTGTAAATAATGTGGGCTTTTTTTTTGCAAACTCTTACATTATTTACATAATTTCTAATTCTATAAAAATGTCACTACATAGATTTTACTACATAGAATTCTCAGGACACTACTTACAAATCACTGTCCAGTCATCAGACTAATAAGCAATAGTTTACATCTAGTAAATATACTTCTTCCATAACCATTGGTTAGAGAAGGGGGGAAATTACAAGTTGAAACTTTACTCCCATTATGTCTATGGTAGACAGAATTATAAAGTTTAAGATAGCCCTCAAGATTTCCTGCCCAGCCCAAACCTTCACTCCCTTCCTCCCACCCACCAGTGTATAGGCCCTGCATAACACATGATGGCTTTCATCCCATGATTAGTTTAGATGAAGTTCTGTGGTACAGTTGACCTTAAAAAGAAAAAAGAAAAAAGGAGATTGCATGCACTCCATAAAAAGAGTTTTCTTGCCCTGACCAGT